CTTTCTTTTTTTAAATGTAGCATATTTTCCTATTTCTCTTTTCCAGGATGCTCAGGTGACCATTGAGTGTGTGATTGTTCAGAAGTTCCACCGTTCTATCATGGGTCCCAAAGGCTCTCGTATCCAGCAGATCACTAGAGATCACAATGTACAGATTAAGTTCCCAGAGCGCGAGGACCCACAAGGTAAACGCCTGACCAGTGTGAACACTTAGGATGGGGAGTCATAACATTTAATGTTCTCATCAAACCTTGTCTGAATTCACTTTTTAGCAGCACCTCCTGCAGAGGAACCCATTCAGGAGAATGGCGAGACCAACGGAGAAGTGAAGGAGCCCGTCGATCCAAACGTACCCAAAAAGTGTGACATTATTGTGCTTTCTGGTCGCAAAGAGCGCTGCGAGGCCGCCGTGGAAGCACTGAAGGTTAGCCTTCATAATAACATCATAATATTTCTCCAAAGTGTTTAGCTGTTTCCTAACTTTCTCCTTTCCTTAGGCCTTGGTTCCTGTTTCTATTGAGGTGGAAGTGCCTTTTGAGCTTCATCGTTACATCATTGGACAGAAAGGAAGTGGAATTCGCAAGATGATGGACGAATTTGAGGTGTGTTATTCATGGTTAAGGCACAGGGAGGCACAATGTGTTTTTATTTTGCTTCTAATCCAGAGTTCATGAAAGTACATGTTTTTGAATTACAAGCTAACCTCTAAAATCATGTCAAGAAAAAATGTCCATTGCAATGATCATGCGTCAACAAACTATTTTATCAAACTACATTCTCTTACATTTAGAGCTGTATGCTGAGGCTTTAATGACCTGTTATTGTTGTGATTCATATGTGTATTATATTTATTAATTTTAAAACACCTGAAATAGAGACTTAAAGAGTGACCTCGCTTTCTGCCATCAGGTTAATATTCAAGTGCCTGCTCCTGAGCAGCAGTCTGATAAAATCTCTATCACCGGCTTGGCCAATCACCTGGACCGCGCCAAAGAGGGCCTCTTGGAGCGTGTCAAAGAGCTGCAGTCCGAGCAGGAGGATCGGGTCAGTGTTTCACTCTGCGGTGTGGATGATTCATGTACTAAATTCTCTTTGCGATTACCTTTTTTTAAAGGACACCCTCATGATGAAACTGAATGAGGAAAGACCGTAATAATCAACTACCAGTATCAGCAGGAGTAGAAAGTAGGGATGCTCCGATCGCCAGTTTTGGGGCCGATCACCGATCGCCGGAATCAGTATCGACCGATACCGATTGCCAATCCGATCGAGTGGGCGGGGCCTAAATGGAAGATTTCAACATCACTTTAAATCTTCCATTTAAAGTGATGTTTAAAACTCAGTTAATGGGGCTCATTCACTGGAGCTTCCACACACAACAATTAACTTAATTATTACATTCAAATGATGTACATTATTCAAGTTTACATTCACTTTGGAGAATAACAATCTCTCCCGGCCCGTCCACACAGCGGCTTTGGAAAAAGCTTGGAGGTAGGCGTTTCTGAAGAAGCTTCCAACGCCGCTGTGGGGACGTCCCTCTCCTGACAGCCTGTCAGTATCTCATGCAGCTCACTGATCCAGTAATGAGTGACCCGACAGTGAAGAATAAACATATGTATAACTAGTGTAGCTTGTTCCAGAGGTAGATCAAATAGCTAAGTGTGTTAGGTCTAACTGTTAGTGTGTGTGTGTGTTGCTCAGCTCACCGGTCCGGCACAGCACAGCGGGCGGAGCTGCAGGATTTCTGCTTCACACACACGTTGCATACCGCTATTTTACTGTCTTTTTCGGACACCTTAAAATACTGCCAGCCAGACCGGTGAAGCCGTTTTGGCGAGCTTGTTTTGCCGCGCACAGAGGAAAGTGTCATGTATTTTACGACATGCGATCGGCTCTCGCGATCGGCATGTTTAGAGAGCACCGATCGATCGGTAGAGAGTGAGTATCGGCCGATCTCGATGGTTGATCGATCGATCGGAGCATCCCTAATCTGCATCATGTTCAGAAACATCTGCATCATGTTATCCCTGCTGCTGACCAAACTTCTCAAACTGCCACATTTGTTATTGTTATTTTGTCTGTCGGGCTTCATTACTTTTGATATATATATATAGTATACCCTCTGCTCTCTGCTGTGATGAGCAGAGATACCACCCACAGTCACACAGAGAGCAGTCTGCAGCGTGTCTCTGCTGCAGTTGTAATCTTGCCTTTTACCGACCGGATCCCCTAAATCCCAAGCCTATTACTGAGGATTTACCCCTCGCTCTGACACGGCCTCCTTCCTATTGGACGCTCAGACGGCACACAGGCAGCTGCTGGCCTCTCATTGGTTGGTTCTCTGGTGATCAGCGCAGACGCTTCACTTCCTATTGGCTGCGATCAAATGTTAAATCAGTGCCGTCCAGGATTCTCAGAGGAAGCACAGTGCAGCCTGTTTACACTTTCACTTTTATTTTCAATCCATACAAGTGTGTAATCCACAGTTTCTCTTTTTTTTCTGGCTATGAGAAGAAGTTTAGGCTCTAAGAAGTAAATACAAAGATCTTGGCAATTTATGTGATTTATATAAAATGATGTCAAACTTTTGTCTTACAGGATTTTTTTTTTTTACATGAAATGGAATGAAATTAGTACATATTCTAAATTTGACCCAATTTCTTAGTAAAACATTTATATATTTACAAAAATGCAAAACAAATTGAATAATTGACTATTTTAGTACATTAAATAATACAATAACAGTGTTTCCCCTATGTTTACTGCTTTGGGGGGGGTGCTGCCGATGATGGCGAGCCGTGCGGGGTTCAAAACCGCGGTACCTGCTCATCATCAATGAGATATTTTTAGAATGTGCACGCTACGTTCGTGGTCAGCTTGAGGTTACAAAATAATAATAAACTAATTTGAAAATGGGGGGGACACAAACAGCAGAGCTCGGGGCTATAGTGCAGATTTGTTTTACTTTTTTCACTTTCTTGTTCTCCTCCTTACCTCCGCTCTTGTCTCTGACTGGGAGTGTCGGAGCGGAGCCCCGCCCTTCACGAAACAGAACGGAGGAGAGAATGTGAATGTGCAAAGCAATGCAGTGGACACTGAAACATGCACATACTGTATATATAAAAAAAGAAAAACCTTGAATTTCAGGGGGGGGGCGGGGCTCCGTTGGGGTGCAGCGCCCCCCCCCCCCCCCCCCAAAAGAAAATGGTAGGGAAAAAACT